AAAAAAAAAAAAAAAAAAAAAAAAAAAAAATGTACAAACATTGACATCAGTATATACTTGTGAATCTTAATATAATGTAAATTAATTATCTTTTATCTATAAAGCATGAATTTATGAGAATGTATATGTAGTAATTACTATAAAAATGTTAAACAATTTTGTAGCATATACTAATATAAATGAAAATAATATGTACAAGTATTGAATGTTTATATTATCTAAAAGTGTGTAACTAAGGTTTTTGACCCACAGTTTGCCTAATTATCCATGATTATGGGCTGTAAAAAGAATTTGTAATGTGATTTAAAATCAATTAAAATGCATTCATGTTACTTTTTTTTTTTTATCATTCATTTTCAAAGTATTAAGATTAGTTTGCATAAATTCAATTATGTGCCACAAAAGAATCAATGCTAGGCTACCTTACACTAAAGCAGTTTAGTTAATAAACAATTTAACACTAGTTAGTAATAGCTACCTTTTTGTAGAATGTTTCATTTTACCTATATGAAATCAAATTTTCAATATCTCAACAAGCATGCATGCCGTCTTAAATTGTCAATTATCATAATCACAATCATAATATCTTGAGATTATCCAAAACTAATCATAGTAAATGAAAATGTCGAACCCATGTCCAAAAATCTTCGCTTATTCCATGTAATGAAGTGAAGTGGAAGTCCTTTGAAATCGAAGTACACAGAGTTAAGGCGAAAATTACACTTTCTTTAGATGCTAAACAGTACTAAGTTTCGATTCCAAACTTTCTTGCTCGCCAAATATCGATAAGAAAACTCGTGTAACTCAAGAGTTGATACATAACGGTACCTTTGTTGTTTATAAAATCCCGGTCAAACCGTGTACGATTGCTGAATTGTTTCTATATCGAGACCCTTCAATCTCACAACTGATTCCACGTGGCCTTTCAATGTGTGCAATTCTCTTAACCTGCATTTAATTTGAGTGTTGATTTGTATTTATTCAACATTTTGCAGGTTGTGAAAAATAGACAACATATATATCAAGAAGGTGATTGCAATTTTGGATCACAAGTACATTTTTCTGTAATTATACTCGACTGTAGTAAAGCTTTTCACATCAAAAGCAACTGTGTTCGAAAGTTAATTCATGGAGTGAATGTAACTTTCGTGTAATCAAATTCTACGGATTGAAAAAAAAAAACTAAATTGCATTTTCAGTCTTACTGGTTTCACACCATAGCAATTTTAGTCTCATGATTATAATATTTCGCCTTTTGGTATGCAATTTCAATCATTTGAGAACTGAAATAGCAACAAATTCCCAAATTTATAATTTTTTTTTATTAGCAATTTAAGTCCAATATTTTAAAATTTTGTTGCAATTTCAATCTTTTAATTTAAAAGTTTGTTGCAATTTTAGCACTCAAAGACTGGAATTATAGCAAAATATTAAATCACACGACCAAAAGGCGAGTTAGAACCTTGTAACTAAAATTGCCAATGTTAAACTAACGGGACTAAAAATGCATTTTTGCCTAAACCCAAAAAAAAAAAAAATAATAAAAAATAAAAAAAAATCATATGCTTACCTAGCAACTTCAGCTCTTCTTTTTGCTTCCTCAGCTAGCTGATTAAGTTCCGAGAAATTGGTAGTCTCGTTAAACAATTTGGTATCGGGTACTTGCAATCCATGTAGGGTCCTTTGCGCATGCGCCCATTGAAGCTCACGTTGCTCTTTTCCGAAATCTTTCTTTCTTGTGAAAGCAATCTACACAAACAATGAAGAAAAAAATAAATATCAATGACCAAACTTTTAGAGCATTATATACATAATGAACTCAAGATATAATCATAAAATTATCCTTAAGGTTTGGCCTAAATTTAATAAGAATAACAATTTGGGATTTTAATATATGATGGTTGTTGTTCAGGCTAATTCACAATTAAAACCCAAACAGGACTTCGAAAACTTACCCTTTGCTCGAGTACGAGATCCCATGCCCTCCCACTAAGAGCGTATCGTGTTAAGAACTTGATAATATCGAGTGGGATATAGAAAATAATATTGTAAAGCCAAATCACACCGGCCCAACCCCAACCGATTCCTTCAATGGCTGCAAAGCTCCAATTTGCATACACCGCAATCAAAGTAGCAACCTGCACGAAAATGAAGCATGTGAAAATCAAGATTCAATATTAAACAGGAAAAATTGCCCTTAATATCACGACTTTTTGAGAAATTGCAATTTAATTTAATCACGACCTTTTCACTTTTGCAAATTAAAAATTTTCAATTTGTTGCAAGTCGGTGCACGGGTTCTGAAAACCAGCCATAGAGATGTGTGGCTGAAGAACAAACTGAAGATTGTGATATTTTCAATTTGTTGCAAGTCGGTGCACGGGTTCTGAAAACCAGCCATAGAGATGTGTGGCTGAAGAACAAACTGAAGATTGTGATATAATTTGCAAAAGTGAAAAGGTCGTGATTAAATTGCAATTTCGAAAAAGTTCGTGACATTAAGCGCAATTTTGTCATTTTAAAAGATAAAAGTTCGGATAATTATAAGGTCGAAAGAGGTAATAGTACCAGCTGGGCAATAAAAAATGCGGCCACAAGCAACAAACCGGGACGCTCGACATAGGACCAGCTTCGGGATCTTGTGACGAATATAAGAGCCTGACTTATAGTGCTCACTTGAAGATATATAGCCGAGGCAAGCTTTCTAAAGTCGTCATGTGCGGTTTTCTCGAGTGTCGATACCCCAAACACTTTCTGGTAAGTTCAGAGTTAAAACATTAAAAAAGTTAATACAATCAAGTAATCTCAAAAGAAGGGCAAAAACGTATTATTAGTTGTGTTGGTCTAACGTCATAGCAATTTTAGTCCCAAGATTCCAACTTTTTGTCTTTTGGTCATGTGATTTAATATTTTGCTACAATTTCAGCCCTTTGAGTATCGAAATAACAACAAAACTTTAAATTGCTAAATGAAAATCTGGGAATTTGGGAATCGTTCCAATTAGAGTCATCAAATGCTGAAATTGCAGCAAAATATTAAACCACAGTACGAAAAGCGAAATGTTCGAACCTTGGGACTAAAATTGATAAAATTGATATGACAAAAAACATGCACACAAGAAAGAAGATGTGATTCAAGTTAAATTTCATTGACGAGAAAACTTGGCTCACCGGAAAAAAATTAGTTTTGTATGCGGCCCAAAAGAATATGACGGTCATCATCGCCAAATAACCGCCCAAAATTATTCCAGTCGCAAAAATCTCAGCAAGCTTCCAACTATCCGGCAGAGGAGATGGCTTCACTCTATCTTTCGATATGGTCATGATAGTGCCTTTATGACAAAGTGTCGAAATGTTAATCTCAAGAGAACAAATGTTGAGCAAGTTTAATTATCTCGAAAATGGTGACTGACATTGGCTTGTGATTAGAGAGAATTTAAGGGAGTGAATTTGTTATCTTTTTTCTGAATGATGTTATAACTTGTTTAATGCTCTGAATTGATAGAGAATGATAAGAGAGCTAACCATCATTCAGTATAGCAATGATCAGCACCATAAAAGGCGGAAAGTCAAACTCCCAAATCAGAGCCAACAACATGAAACCGAGCTGGAACACGAATATGAAAGTCGAAAGACATCCAAAAAAAAAAAAAACCCACAGTGCAGAATGCAAACCTCAAGAGAAATTCATCACTATGAAAATCCAAATATCAACAAGAAGAAATGCTCACCACGATACGAATTGTAATAGAAACGGCGTAAATCTGTCATAAATATCACGTGGAAAACTAAATCAGTCACCATCAGAAAACAAAAGGACATAGCTGATAAGCAAGCTATCAAGTTAACTAATAGCGAATTTCGAGCTTATAGCTGATGGCTTATGAAGCTAGTTGATATGATAAAAGTGTTCGTTAAAATAGTTGATAAGCTAGATGAACTGATTTGAAAAGCTAGTCTAATAGCTTATGGCTGAAAAAGCTAGATGATAAAATAAAAGGTTTGGTAAAAGTTAGTTGATAAGCCAGCTGAAATAAAATTTTCAATAAGCTTATTATGCTAGCCAAAGAAGCCTATTATCTAGTCTATTAGATAAGCTTGAACCTTTTGAAAAAGTTCACCCACAAAACCAAGCTTATTTGTATACAGAAAATTTATAAACTAACTAAATAAGCTAGGTGTTTACCAAACACACTCAACAAAATAAACCAAAAAAAAAAAATTGTACCGTGTAATTTTTCATGCGTTGGAATATCGCTCGACTGGTTAAAACGGCACTTATAATAACACTCAAGCCAGGCTCGGTAAGGACGATATCCGAGGCACTACGAGCGGCATCAGTGGCATCAGCAACGGCAATTCCAATATCGGCCTTCTTTAAAGCCGGGGCATCATTTACACCGTCACCGGTCATTCCACATATGTGTTTTCTGGCTTGCAAACGCTTCACAATTTCGTATTTGTGCTCTAAAAGAAAAAATTGAACAAATATGATGATATACAGCTCAAATGAGACAATGTGATCTCAAATCGAGAGGGGGAAAAAAAAAGGTTTGGTAGGAAAAGAAAGAGCAAGTACCTGGAAAAACACCAGCAAAACCATCGGCTTTCTCAATAAGCTCGTCAATCGGTAGAGCAGCAATCGATTCATCCTTATTCTGACCGAGCAAAGCTGAAGAAGGGTACATATTTGTTCCCATTCCTAATCTCCGGCCAGTTTCCTTTCCTATTGCCAGCTGGTCCCCTTTTAATAAGAAAACGAATAACAACATGAATTTGGTGCCAAAAAACTAAGACGAATATATGACAGTCTCTTCACAAGCTAAAGTGTTAATGTTTTTACGGTTAAAAATGAAAAATTCTACCGGTTATCATTTTGACATTAACTCCAAGATTTAGTGCTCTCCTTATAGTTTCAGCACTGTCATGCCTCGGTGGATCGAATAAAGGCATGAGACCAATGAATTTCCACGGGCCTCCGGGACTATCTTTTGTTCCTTCCGGAACTTCCTGTAACAAAATCGAACCCAATAATGTTACAAATAGTCGTATGATAAGTTCACACTGTCAAATCGAACCCAATAATGTTAATCAGATATCGTAAGATAAAGTACACTTTTTTTTCTAACCCAATAAGGTTAATCAAAGAAAAAAAAATACCTGATATGCCACGGCGAGTGATCTCAATCCTCGTTCGGCAAACTTATCGATCACAGCATGAACACGACGCTCTATGTCCGATTTATTATGCGCCAAGTTCAGAATCTGAATGCATTTTTGCATGCATAATTTGAGAATTACATTCAAATGCAAAAAAAAATAAAATAAATAAAAATAAAAATAAAAATAAAAATAAAAAAGAAAAAGGAAAACGAAAATCATGACCTGTTCTGGTGCGCCTTTACTAACCCTGTACATTTTCCCTTCAACATCAATGTAAGTCAACGCCGTTCGTTTATCAGTCGGGTTAAAAGGAAGAAAGTGTACTTCCCGAATTCCAGCACGTGCCTGTTAATGATATTAAATTTGATCAAGTCATGAAAACACAATGTGCTGAAATAATTACATTTTATTATTATCTTTCGACACGATTATTAATTTATTATTACCTCCTTTGGATCAGCCAGCATTCCAACTATTGCACCGTCTATTGCATCTTGGTTTTCTGTTCGGGAGGCTCGAGCTGCCATAAGGACTACAGTATCTGCATCAACATCTTTTGCGAAAACCTGTGTAACAGTTGATGAGGCTTTGAACATGAGTTACAATTGATTTTTTTGTTAAGGGCAAGTAATATCTTAGCTTAAATGAAAAAAAACGTCTAACAACAAACAATTTGAATACTTTACTGGGATATTTTGTAATTTCTATTGTGATTGAAGATGCCATCGATTAATTATTTTCAGAATTATTACGTGGATTATTGCATTTTGCCCCCTTCCCAAACTAGAGTCTTTCTTGCATGGACCAACTCATGATAGGTTCAAGTAAGCTCTTAAGGGGTTTAAGTGCAAAATGTTCAAAGTTATGCATGAAATTGAAAAGAAAACTTTTTTTTTCGAAATTCAGCAGCCACAGCTCAAAACTCGCCCACTACAGTTTGGCAAAAGAAAAAAAAAAATAAAAATGCAATGACCTTGCATTCAACAGTAATAACCAGAGGAAGAAAATTAAAAGAAAAAAAAAAAAGGCCTTTGCTCTAAACCTCAATGAGATTCTTATCAACAGTGAGTTTGTTCAACGTCAAAGTCCCCGTCTTATCACTACAAAGCACATCCATGCCTGCCATCTCTTCTATAGCTGTCATTCGCTTCGTAATAGCACCCTGCAAGATAGTGAAATCCTCTCATAAACACTGAAAGATTCCCAAAAAAAAATAAAAAAATTACTAAACTAAACATAGCCTAACAGTTCGCCAAAAAAAGACCTGTTGGGCCAAACGGTGAGAACCAATGGCCATCGTGACTGAAAGCACAGTAGGCATAGCAATCGGGATCCCACCAATGAGAAGAACAAGAAGATTATCGATCCCCGGCCGATATTCCCTATGTTGAATAGGATACATCACGATTATCTCTATCACCATACCCACAGCAATTGAGCATATGCAGAAGTTTCCAATCGCAGTCAAAACCTAATCATTTACCAAAAGTAAAGATACAAACAAGTTTTAACAAGAATTGATTAATATTAAAGAGATAAGTACAGCAAATGTATCGTATGTATAAAGAACCCGCCTTTTGGAAATGTCCAACTTGATTAGTAGAATCGACAAGATGAGCAGCCTTGCCGAAAAAGGTGTGGACCCCTGTGGCAATAACTACAGCCTCGATTTCGCCTTGCTTGCATGTCGAGCCCGAGTAGACACCATCTCCCGGTCCCTTTGTTACGGGAAGAGACTCGCCCGTCAAAGCAGACTGCAAGAAAATAAAAATAAATAAATAAATGAAAATTAAACGAAAAATAAGCAAGAAGCAGCAAATTCTGCTTTATAGTTTGACTGTTGAAAACAATAAGCAATCATGCATGCAACTTTATCATGAAGAGCACTTTATTTTAATTACTCAACTACTCAAAGCTCCTGCCACTATAAATGCTTCTTGTAAAAGAAGAATGTTTTACAAAGACTTGCTAAATAAACTGCAACTCATGCAAAAGTGCTAGGGACCATGAAATATAAACCAAAAGAAGCAAGAATGCAGCAAATTCTGCTTTATAGTTTGACTGTCGAAAACAATAAGCAATCATGCAACTTTATTCATGAAGCATTCTCTTTTAGGTACTCAACTACTCTAAGCTCTTGCCACTATAAATGCTTCTTGTAAAAACAGAAATTTTTGCAAAGATTACAAGTGCTAGGGATCATGAAAATTGAAAAATAAACGAAAAATAAGCAAGAATGCAGCAAATTCTGCTTATAGTTCGGCTGTTGAAAACAATGAGCAATCATGCAACTTTATTCATGAAGCACTCTCTTTTAAACTAGAAACTCGGACACACCTGATCGATTTTCAGTGGGTCGCCTTCGAGAAGACGAGCATCGGCAGGAATTATATCGCCAAGCTTAATGCTAATTATGTCCCCAGGCACCAAAATTGAAGCCTCTTCTTCACTCCACCTTCCATCTCTAAGAACCTTCATATTAACAAGAGTCAGTTACAAGACCATAAATCATTATAAGTTATAACCACTCCATGCTATTCATAAGTTCCTGACAGAAGATAAAAGGATTTATAACATGCAATACCACAAAAATTTGATTAGTTAAAAAAGATGTCTTTAAATTAATCCTTCTACGTCCTTGATTATCACTTCGCAAGTAGGCAAAAGTAGATGCCAGCAGGTATTGTATAATTTTGAAACAAAATTTGGGTTCTCTTGCAATTTGATTAAACCTCAGAATACTTTAAAGTTTTTTATTTTTCTATGAGATGACTCAAACCTTGGCTTTTGGAGCTAAACGGGCCATGAGAGCAGCCGCTGCATTGCCAGCATTATTCTCTTCGATAAAACTAATCGTCGAGTTTATAAAAAGCAAGGTGATAATGCCCACAAAGTCTTGCCAATCTGGAGGCTTTCCCTGCAAAACATTTAAATCAAGAACTGTCCTTTTTATTTTTCTGGATAATGAACCCTCAGAACAAAATTGAAATTTATTTATTGAATTATGCACTTACTCCTCCGTTTGCCAGGGCAATCGCCATAATAGCAGCAGCTTCCATAACCCATGAAAGAGGGTTCCACATAAACCCCAGGAACTTCAAGAATTTGCTCTCCTGAGATACCAATATATTGAAAAGTGAAAACTTTAAATATATAAAATATAAATACAAAAACTTCTCTACACAGGACACCAGCAGATAGACAGAGTGTACAAAATGTACAATCTTTACAAAGAAAATAAACAATAGAACAGAGGTCCCAACTCGTTTAGAGCTATATGAGGCCACAAACCGCAATACTTTACATATAAAACGTACAAAAATAAGAGCATCTAACTCAAAACAACCCAAACAATGAAAATTTAAAACAAGATTTTGTTCTGGAAAACTGTACTTTTTTCTCCTCAAGCTTGTTGTGTCCAAATATGGCTAGTCTTTCTTGAGCAGCTGCAGTTGAAAGACCCTCCCTTGTGCATCTCAGATTCTCAAACACTTCATCAATGGGGATATTCTCCTGCAACCCAATAAGACACAAATAACCAAAAAAAAAAAAAAAAAGGAAAAAATTAGCAAACACACGAAAGCCAAAAACCGACATTATCGTCTTCTGATAAACTTAAACTCCCCCATTAATGAGGATATTCTCTGCTCCGCACATACACAAACACACACAGAAAGCCAGCACAGACATTAAAAACCGGCTAATGCTCCCACAAATAAACAAACAACTGAACTCCCCCAAAACAGTCACTCTAAAATTCTCAGATCCATTACCAAATCAACAGTTTCCTTCAACACAGCATCAAGAACCTCAGGCTTTTCTTCTCCCATCCTTGAAAAAAACTACAAAAAGTACTCTTTTCCACTGCTAAAAGTACGAGTTCTTGAAATGGAGCTTATTCAAAAACCATCACCGGCAAGAGCCTGTGCATAGCAGAAGAACCAAGAACAGCCCATCTAAAAAGATTGGATTTTTTTTTATTTTTTTTTTTTAATCTATGGTGGCTGTATGAGAAGTTTGGATTTTTATTTAAAGACAAAAGAAGATGAGGCTTGGCTACCACCAACACCAACTCTACAGAGTGGCAACCGCTACAGATATGCACAACCCTTTGCATTTCCCATAAAAAAATTTTATTATTAATGTAATCCAAAAAGAAGAAGATTTTTTGACAATTTGATGAAACTGATTTCTCAAAGAGCTGGAAAGCTGATATAAGCAAAGCTTTCACAATAAAAAAAAAAATTAA